GATCCCTTTCTTTCTCTGAGTTCTTTAATTAAGTGAGAGTGAGAGTGCATATATATACAACTCAATCTCATTGTTTCTCCCCGATGTGGGACTTTGCTCTTCATTATTATGCCACAAAAGGCTTACATTGAATTGGGCCAATCCCATTTCTTTTCACATTTAATTTATCAAGCCCATGGCTTTGTTAAATATCCAACATTTATCATCATTCAACCATATTTGTGAGTTTCATTAATCATCGACAGACACAGAAGAAGGTTTGTTTTGCTTTTTTAACCTAACTCAAACGTGTCTCGTCACTCTTTTTTTTTTTCTCTCGTCTTATTCAAAAGATGATTGATTGCTCTCTAGTCTCTCTAACCTCTATCAATTTAAAAGTATTTCTTTTTAGAACTTAGCGGCATTGCCGTATTATGATTCTTCTACTCCTCCAGAAAAGATCAGAAAAGCAACAAAAAAGAAAACTTTCTTCCACCGCCGAAAGCTCCAATGCGACGAAAATAAAAGTATACTAATGATAGATTTTCTGTTTTTATTTTTTGTATTTAACTCATACAAAAAGGATCAAAAGATGGAAAAACATATAGAGTTGCTTAGTTAAGTGACGCCACTAATACATAGATACATTGTTTATAGGGTTTATGGTAGCTATGGGCAAAATAGCTCGGCGATTTGATTCGTTCCTTGTTTTAGTGTTCCGTATCCGTAAGTTCATGTACAAATACGAGTAATCAACATACATAGATACACTAGAACATGTGTTAGTCTGCTAGATTAGATCTAACCCGATCAGCTTTATGTTAACGAACCATGAAATAACTTTAGAAGCTACGGGTATGCCTGGGACTTCGGATATTCGGATCGGGTTTGGATAAGATCAGATCGGGTCCGGGTTTTTGGATAAATGAATTCTATATCCAATGGTTACTTAATAGATTTTGGTTCGGGTTTCGGATCGGGTACACCGGTTTTGGGTTGGTTTCGGATACCCGTTTATTATGTGAATCATATGTATATTTACAAAATAAAAAAATGATTTGCGTAATATTTTTAAGGAAAATGAATAGGAATTGAATATATATTAATAATATGCAGTTAAGTAAAACGAAGTTGAAGTAGTATAGTGGTTATTATGAATCGACCCCTTGGAAGTATGAATTTGTGATTTCTAAGCATAGAATCTGTTTTAAACGGATATCTGATCGGTTCCGGGTAAAAACCGACCCTGATACCCATGAATAATTAACACTAATATGTATTGGGTAATTTGACTAAAACCGAATCCAAACCGAACCGGTTTATTTCGGGTCGGACCCGGTTCGGGTAATCGGATTTGGTTATGTTAATCTGGTTTTAAATAATTGTAAGTTGAATTGAAGTCATTTTGGTTTAGTTCGGATAGGACTCGGTTTAGTTTTAGCGCTCGGATTGATATAAGTCTGAATTTGGTACGGTTGCAGTGGTTTAACAAGTCAAAAACCCAATTCAATTTCATCGATGTAACAACAAAAATATACACACAGAGAGACATCGACAACAAACAAGGTTACAGACGAATGACATGATGAGCTAAACCAAACCTAAACCGGATTCACGCGCCACGAGCAACGTCGGATGCTCCAGCAACAATCTCAACCTCCTGATTCTCCTCCGGAAAACCGAAATTGGTAGGCGCGTGAGGTCCAACAAGCTGAATCGCGGCGTTATCATAAGCAAGAGCAGCTTCTTCGGGGGTGTCGAAAGTACCAAGCCAAAGACGGTCACGTCTTCGTCCCTCGATAGCTCGACGACCGCATCTGATCTCAGCCACCCATTTCCCCCACTGTCTCTGCCTCACTCCACGGAACTTCTTCTTCTCCGCCTTTAGAAACTCCGCGGGAATCCTGATTTTGAACTTCGTTTTGCAGAGATTGGGTTTAGTATCGGAATCGGAAGGGTCGATGACGATCTCCTTGACGAGGCGTTTCCCACGGCGGCGAACCTGAGACTCGGGCTCTTCGTCGCTGGAAGAATCGGTGGCTTCTGCGTCGGTGACTGAGATTCTGACGATACGTTTCATTTGGGATCGATGGAGGATGAAATTTGAATTGTTTTTATTAGGGTTTAGTGTCCCCTAAAATGGAGGAAGGCATAATACTGTAGTAGAAAATTGGATTGTTTCAGAATATGTTTTTATTCTCTCCGAATCTACTACTCTCCACTTGATTTATTTATTATTTTTTTAAACCAATCATGAATCTTGTCTAGAATCATCTATGATCCAAATCATCAAACTTATTAGAGCACCCACATTGGTGTATCCCCAAAGTGAATCCTTAAGTATATTAAATTATTTTTTTTTTTGTTTTGAATAGTTAAGGACCCTAATCCAATTTGTATGTCCATTGGTGTTTTCCATTCCGGAATCCTTAGGAATAAAATAATATTTAATTTTCGAAAATATAAGAATAAAATTTTATTTATAGAATGATTAAATATGAAAATACAACAATGATTAAATATGAATAACTCTGCTCTACTATATTCTGTGATTCTTTAATTATGTGATTGTGTGATTTGTATGTCATTATTTGCTTGGATAATGTGATTTGTATTAACGTATGTTGAAGTAAAAGAACGAGCAATAATTGGTAGGGAGATAATATCCAAGCAAAAGACAAAGAAAAAATCAATATAGTTTTGCCCAAACTCATGCCATGTCACCAAGGATCAACCTAAAAAAATCCTTAGCAAAGGATTGATCCTTGGTGTTTACCATTTTTTTATTAATATTTTAGCAAAAATTGCATAGGTATTAGTGCTAAGGATTGTTTAAATCCTCCAATGTGGGTGGTCTTAGGAAATGAGTGACGACAAGTTCTAAATAGAGGCCAGGCCCATACGGTCCAATTATAATTGCAACAACTCTACTTTATTCTTCTTTTCCAACAAGTAGTATCCCTTTATTATTAAAGGAGAAGCAATTAGGATAATAAACCTTGATTTTGTAATTTATTAACAGTTTTGCCATTATGGCTGATGTGGCAACACCACATATCACCTTAGCCATCATTTTTAATAGTTCTTTAATTACTAGAGAATTTACAATATTTGCCACTGATGGTCATTATAACATATAACATAAGATATAACAATGACTATTAAGCCATTAAATGCATGATTCCCATTAAGCCATTAAATGCATGATTGTATCGACAACTTTAAAGTTCCAACATAATATTAAGTCAAACGATTTAAAATCAATAATACCGATACTTTCGAGAAACAAATTTATTGAATATTAGCATAGCAAACAATATATATTGCTTTAACAGATAATCATATTTGAAATCACGTTGTAATTCTCCAGATTTGTACTTGCCGAGATTATGAATGCAACTCTGATCCTACCAGTAGTAAAACATGATAAATTGGATAAAACAAAATATTACAGCTTATTCATATATTAATTCCATCTCTTATCAAATTACTTTTAGAAGTTCATAGTTACTGGTTATCAAATTAGTCCTCCTCTTCTTACAATTCAACAGTTTAATATTAAGATATTGCTCAATACAAGTATATTTAAACCTACTATATACTTAAACATTACATTTATAAAATTTTCATATGATGTCCGATAGTATTATGAACAAAAATGTGTAGTAAAATATTTTCTTAACTATTTCTGTATAGTAAAATATATTTTTAACAGTTTTGCTCCGCGTTAGGCGCGGGTCTCTACCTAGTTAGGATTCTAAAACACTTCTCATATTACTAAACTAAGATTGTTTGGAAACTCCATCTAAAATTATTTTTTCTACATTTCAGAATCAGATTTTTTTTAAAGAAAATGTAGTACACTCACTGTTCCATAAAACACAAGACTACCATCTCAATTCTTTCACTTCACATCAAAAAGCTATAAAGTAAAAGTCCATTATTAGTAGTCTGAACTCCTAAAGGTAAAAAACGCTTACACTTTTTCTAATATTCTTTGAAAGCATTTGAACTGTTACATGAATAATAAGAAACAGCAAGTTAGAAGCAACTTCAAACTCTACTCACACCCAAAGAGAAAGTGGACGCAATGTTAACTCAAAACCATTAGTCCAATCGACAAAACTTCTTCAGTTTAGGTCCAGTGGGATGTGTTGCTTCCTAATGCGCCAACCAATAAATGCTTCTGTAAGATGAATGTTATGGCCAAGACACGTTTTGAAGATAGAGTGAGAATAATTCCCACCAAATTTCCTGGAGCCATTGAGGTGTTTGGTAGCTGTGGCCTGTGTATGGTATCACTTACACTACCGTGCCATCAGAAAACTGAATCATGTTTTGAATTAAAAGGGTTTGTGAAATGGAAACAAAAACAACATCAGATCGTTTAGTCTCATGGCTCTTGCCTACAATGTCACATTTTAAATCTTTTGTTCTGCTTGTAATGGACTATTCATGATTATATTGTGTCCGAACATGGGAATACTGGTGAGGTAAAAAAATGTTCAATGAGTTGATTGCAATCAAGGATCGAAAAACAAAAGCCATAAAGTGAAACTTTGCTCCACTTTAAGTCTCCTCTTACTTCTAATGTAACATGAACGCTACACAATGACTTTTTATTATCTATCTTTTTATATGAAAATACTACATATGATTCTTCTACCTATCTATACCTCTATACTACACGATCTCTGCATAACGCTTAGTAGTCTCATCACCTGAGTGACCATTATCCAAGCCGTTACCAGAGCTATGATTATCTTTTATCTGAGGGCGTGGACCCGCAAACACTTCCTCCCTTTGGGGGCGGTTCGCATAGAATACCCACAGCACCAAACACAGCAACACTCCAACAGAGATCAGTCCAAGTCCTGCGTTCACAATCCTCAGGTTACGCTCCAATGGTGGACAGTACTCCGAGGTAATACTCTCAAATGTATCCCTCACAAAGTTGCAATCTCTGAAGCTAAGCAACGGTGGCGTGTAATGCTCCAGAGCGTAGGTCTCATTTACAGCTGCTACCAACTGCTTGAAGTTGTCAGGCGTTACTCTCCCCACCGTTGTGCAGACTCCAGATTCTGTTACCTCGCATATGAAACTCTCCCAGACCTGCAATAAGATCATTAAGATCATTGTGGTGTTTTGTTGAATACATACAAATGATAGGTGAGGTTTTTGAGTAGTACCGATGATGCATTTTGTATTGACAATTCCCAAGAGCCGCACTCGCGTGCTTCCATGTTTGAATCAAAGGGGCTGCACAGAGGAGGCATTGGAGGTCCAGACTGATTGTAATAGAAGTTTTGACCTGGAGATGGGTTTGTATTGGCATAGGCATAGACAAAGGTGTTTACAACGGTAACGATGCTGTTGATGACAACTTTGCTCTGTGCAAGAGTCTGGTTTGTTGTTTGCTCATCAACACATGGGAGGATGCTGCTTAGCGCTGTTTCTGCGTGAGGATGATCAACCCATTCCTTCATTGCTACACAAGTATCTGAAATTGCACTGTACATATAAAACAATGACATTAAGTTATTTACATCTGCAAGTCTACCACTGAAAAAACAAACAATTGAGCATAATCTTACTTGTTTAGGATCAGAAAGACTCCACAGAGAACAAATGTCACAGCCACCAGTATCCACCCGCTTACAACGAATCTATCATAATATCCATCCACAGAGCCATGTCAACATTTCTCTTGAAACACTAGAAAATTAAAGAAAATGAAGATGTTGGTGTTCAAAGGGCTCACATGTGAATAGCGTGTTGATGGCGGAGAACAGAAAGCACTGTAATAACACAAAGCACAAGAAGAGTCTAAAGTCAAATGGATGTCACAGCTAAATCAAATAGGAATACTAAAGAACCATATGAACATCAAATGGACTTACAAAGACCAAGAAAAGAAAGGATGAGCATCACAGTAGCCACCGTGATCAAAGCTGATCGCCTGAAGAAGTACATAAACAGAGTTAGTCTCTAATCTTTATTCACTTCACAGTACAAGGTTCAGGGAAACCTACACAGCATAGAAAACTCTCTTAATCTTAGCAGCATTATCAGTTGTTTTCTCTTCGATTGTCTCTGCTGCAGTGTTCAGATCAACATTTAACTTGTCGATCTCACCCAACACATTAGGTGGAACGGAAATAGTTGTCACGTTAATCGTTTTCGCAAGGGAAAGATACTGAGTAACGTTCTGTAAGATCCCCACAGTGTAGTCTGATTGGTTTACCACAAACTTAAGAGTAGCCAAAGCTTCAGTATGAAACTTATTCTGTCCAACAGACAAAAGAATGCATCCTACCCTGTAAAAAACACCAACTCAATCTCAGGAACAACAACAACAAAAGAGAATGAAGCATTGAATCCTAATAGAAGAAGGTTGAGATAATTACGCAGCAGCAGAGGTAAAGACTATCAACAAGATGAGACAGATTCTCCTTGAATTGTATGATGATCCTTTAGCTTTCTCGCATACTCTCCATTTAAAGCAATGGTAAACAACAAGAAGAGAACCAAAAGACAAGATCCAAACAGCAGCTAGAATGAAACCAGGAGCACCTGTAAATCCAACAGACTGCAAGAACATGGCCAATTCATTAAAACAAATCCTATAAAACTCAAAGAAATCATCTGGTGGAAACTGAAGACTTACAGCCCAGTAGTGATTGTTGGTGATGTTCCAGCCACCACGGTAAGGCTTAAAGGCTCTGAGAATGTCAGGTCTCTTGGTTCTGTGAGCTGCCAAGACGAGGTAATCAGAGAAATCAGCTGAAGGTCCTGGTGCTAACGAATCTGTTGAGAGTGCACCTTTCCATGATCCAAAATTAGGTGAGCCTGTGATTGGTGTAGGCATCAAAGCAAATTTCACATGATCAGAATTGTCACACAACAAAACAAAAAGTAACAAAACTCATCACAAGTTTCAAGCTTTGATTGATAATATTGCCAAAAGACAATGACTTTTGACACGCAACACTCATGAACTTGAACCGACACTAAAACAACAGATCACAGATAATCGAAAAACTTTCAAAAAAAGATCAAAGATTTTGATTCAGGATGATAAACCCATAAACCAAGATCACATTCAAGAGAACTCAACATCAAAAAAAAAAAAAAAATCAAGAAATGAAAAACGTAAAACAGAGGATAAAAAACAGAGAGAAGGAAAGAAACCTAATATGAGCTTAAGCGGATCCTGTTGTGCGGCGACGGAAGACGGGAAAGAGAAGAAACCAAAAGCAAACAAAACAGAGAAGACAAAGAACTTCATCATCATCTTCTTCCTCACTGAGAAGCTACGTCGTTTCGAGGCATGAGAGGAATGAAAAGATTCGTTTTTTTTGTTTTGTTTCTTCAGATGAGAAAAGCCGTCATTGTTGAAGCTAATGGCGGGGTGGTGTCTGAAGAGAGATTTATCCCCCGCGCAATCACGATTGCATCAGCTTCGTTGATGAGGAAAGTGAAAAAGGAGAAGAGAGAGAGGAGCAGTGCTCTCTCCTTTATTTATTAGGCCACCTTTACTTACTCTTATTTGTCCTTTACTACTTTTCTTATTTTTCTTTCACACTTGCCTTGTTTTCCCTTTTTTATATACGCTTTTCACACGCACACACTTTATACTAAAAATATGTATATAAAATTCTTATTAATTAAAAAAACGTAGTCAGGTGATGGATTTAGTTGGTGTTTAAGTATAACAAACTTGGTGAAATTAAGGAGTTGTTAGTTACTAGTTTGGAAGTATATTGTTGAGTTTATCTTAGAATTTGTTAGCGAATAAAGCTTTATTTTGAGAGTATGGTTTAGATTTTGTTTGTATTGTATTTTTATGTAAAATAGATGAATATTTATTTTATAATTATAAAAAGAAAATAACGAATGAGTACAGGTTTATTTTTAAATATTAGTGAAATTTATTTATTGTTTTCAAATGTTTTGTATACTTATTTAAAATTTTAATTTGAAACTAATTAATTTGTTAAAAACTAAGAATTGATTTTAACTTGTACAAGATTCCGGTTGTGAATCAACAAAATTAAGTGGTAAAATTAAAAGAAAAATTTGTCACCGATTAATGATTTCTTTATTTTGTTGGTGCACACTCAAAAAAGCACCACATGTGTTTGTTTTTAAGGATTAAGATTGTGTAATTAAGGTAATTGAATTGATTAGGCACACTGATTAATCTTGTGGGTCCCATAGATGACTTGAGACTCCAATGGGGTCGAACGTGTTGGTTGCGTCCCTCCGTCTCGGTGTCTTCAGTGGCGTTATGTTTCTGTAACCACGTGGACTCTTTGATCGGACGGTACATTGATTTGATTGGCGTGTGTGACCAATTAATTCAAGAAACCATGTGTTTTCTTTTGACTTTGCCGTGTGTATGTGTAATTTGCCAAACAAGTTCTTAGTAAATACGTAATAAATTCATTACTTTTCAAAAAGTTACGTGATGAAAATTGTTCACACTTAATTTTCAGGGAATTTTCAAAAGATCAATTACTGGTATACTGTAGTATATAATAATACTATTGCTTTTGGCCCTGCCTTTACGACTTTGAGTTACCATAACTTGCGGTCAAGGTTATGGGATCTCAAGACTTTTTAGACTCTTCGTAGAGACGGCAAGCTTTTTTCTCGATAGTAAATGGGAAATAAAAACTATTAAAGTGTTCATTCTAATGCCTTCATTTTTATATAACTCTCTTTAGATATTTTTAGATCTAGCATAGAGAGTTAGAGTACAAAAAAGCTGACTACAATTTTATACCTAAATCACTTTAATGTGGTATGGGTGGGTTTAGGTATTTTGACGTGCGTCTCTACTTTATCTTTAATATAAAAAACCGAAAGAAGTTTACATATTATCGTATATTATAAGTTTATCCTTTCTTAATATAGTACATTAGACTTCTCTTACAATAAAGTAAAATTCTCCTTTATAATATACTGATATATGTTTGGTTGTTATTTATGTTAACATGCCATTAGAATGGGGGTGATCTGGTTGAGTCAAGATGGTTCAACATGCATGAAGAAGAAGCATGTGAGAAGATCATGTGACCCAAATTGTGTGAAAACTTTTAAAATTTCGAGATGCATCTTTATTGCTCCGTGACAAAAACAGCCCATAACATGTTATTATATCCTCCCATTGTAGAAAGCTAGAAAGTGTCTACTATTCAATTCTTTTATTGTCTTCTCTACCAATCTTTATGCAGATCTAAGCGTTTGTACTTGTATGAATTTATAAATGAACGAATATGAGAATTGATCTCTGAATGTTTACACTGATTCGTATGTAGAATATATTCGTCATAGAACGGCTCAGGATGATACAGTCAGACGTAAATCCGTATAAGAAAGATAAAATTGTCGACTGTAATATCGTCTATGTAATATATCTCATAATTTGTAATGCATAATGAACCACTGTTAAAAAAAATGAATATATTCGTCATAGTTTCATACGTGAATATTGTCTACTTTCTAGTAAAAGTTTTGAGATTAAAATTGAAATCTACAACATGCACACAAACGAATACCCCATGTTGAAGGGGGATATGGGTGTCAAAATTTATTCTTGTCAAATTGCAATAGAAGCAACTTGAAAAACATTTATGGTCCATTAGCCCTTTTGTTTGCAACTCTTTTCCCCCATAGAACTATAGTACAATGGCCATGAAGATCATTTGGAATCTAACCCAAAGAGAAACTAGGTAGTCTTGTGAAGCATCTTAGATTTTTTTGAGTCAGTGAGAAAAATCACTCCGTGATTACAAAAGCTCTGTGAAAGATCTTTTTCCTGGCAACCTCAAGATAACGAAAGAGATGCTGATCTTCGAGGCAGATGATGAGACATCTGATTCTAAGCTTCAAATGCAGCTTCAGAACACTGAAAGTAAAAGATATTCAAAACAAGGATCACATAAAAAACTTCCTTTGTTCAACATTGTGACCAATACAAGTCAGAGTCACATCTTTGAGTTTGAAAACTATCTACACATGCATGCTTGCCGTGACGTCATCAATAATAATAATGCATTTGCTCCTCCTCCTAAGGAGCAGCTGATCAGTATCGAAGACTTTGAGCTACGAATCAAGCTTTTCCGAGAGAATAACGAGTTGCAGATATTACATAAGGAGTTAGTGCAAAGCCAAGTCGTGACTGAAAGTGAATTCTGGTTTACAAGAAAGCAATTACTTGTTGGTAAAGATAAGTGGAAACAACGTGTTGGGCTCAAGAATGTGATGATGGCTTCTTCTTCTAGCATGATCAAACCATCTACTGATGATGGGAGGACTAGTAATAACAGGGTGACATTTAACTTCAACCCTGAGATAATATTTCAGATTTTTAACGAGAGACCAGGTGTTCTGCAAGCATTCATGAACTATGTTGTTTGTGTTAAGATGACAGAGAAGGAGTTTTGGACGAAATATTCTAGAGCAGAGTATCTTTACAGCACAAAGAACGATGCAGTAGCTGAAGCAGAAGCTGCTGAAGACGAGGTTCTCTCTGTTTTTCTCAAGCCTGATGAGATATTGACTCAAGAGGGTCGTCGAAAGATTAGAAAAGTTGATCCCACTCTTGTCATTGTGGGAGAAGAAGAGTTTTACAGTCATCATACTATGTTTGTAAGAAGAAGAAGATCACTTTTACAAGATATTAATCGTCATTGTGCTGCTGTAGTGGAAGGTAGATAGATGCATTGATGTTGAGTCAGAAGATTCTAAGACTGTTGCAGAGGCTCTCACACTTGCTAAACAACAAGCCCCCAAAGAAGAAGCTGATGATCAAGCACCACCAAACTTGCAGTTCCTACCGCTTTCTATCAAGGATCCTCGTGATTACTTTGAAGGAAATGTTGTTCTCAATGCTGCGCCTAGAGCATCAAAGAGAAATGTCCATGAGGCTTATCAAATGCCAAGACTGTTAACCGGCCAGAGAGCATGGAGAGATTACCTAAATCCACCAAAGATGATATTTTACATCATTGGACATTAATAAAAGAGCTACACAGACATTTTTGGTCGTCTTACCCCAATAACAAGCACATATCTCTCTACCAAAGTTGCTAGGTTGAAGGATGCAATGACCAATATCTATTCACAACTCGAGGCAGTGAAAGTGTCAGTGCCATCTGATACCAGGCATGAGGCTTCTTTACTGGTTTGTTCACTGCAAAAGTCTCTTCACGCTGCCTTCAACCACTACGACACCGACTTACAGATAAGAAGAAGCACTACTAAGAGTGTTGGAGTCAAAAGACCAAACGTGTGTGTTTAGAAGACAGACGATGATACAAAATCATTGACAAGATCTTTGTTTTGTTTTATCTTAAGCCTTAACTGATGCCTTTGATATTCATATACTACTTGTTAATTTATCCCCAACCATTGTAATACAAATAACTGCATTTTTACCGTATTTTGGTTCTGCAAGGTGTTGAGATTGTACAATACAGACTTTTGTAGTTGGAATGAACAAAGAGAATGAGATAAGTGCACGGTTCATACAGTTTAAAAATGAGTTTTCAAGTGGGCTACCTTATTCACCAACACATACACAAATAAAAAACCAACGTATTTGATCCGTCACACTGTTTACAAAGAAAACTTGTATATTCATTTTTTTTTATGGGATACCTTGGACATTATCAACGGTGAGCCTGAAGAAGATGATAATGTAGAACGTAAGAGACAACAACGCAAACACATGCTGCCAAAACAAAACCGCAGAAGCCTCTCTAACCGCATAACCTCTCAGACTCGCTATAGCTCCAAGTAAAATAGCACTTGGAGTAGAATACTGCAAGAGAAGCACAAACTTAAACATGGGATCCGGAGAGATGAGACCAAGCTTATCAGCTGACATCACAATCCCTATCCCAACTAAAGGAAGCACAAGGAGTCTTGCAACAGTTATACCAATCGTTGTACGTAGCCCAAGAGTTGATTCTCTTGGTCCTTCAGAGAGCATACCACCAAGTACAAGCATCACAGAAGGAACCATCGCACTTGCCATAATATTCAAACTATCTGTGATGAATGAGAGCGGAGCATCGTAACCAAAGACAATACTTTTCAGCTGAGGTACTGATCCAACAATGATGGCTAGTAAAGAAGCTATCGTTGGTGGTTGGAGTATGTGTTTAACTGGAGTCTGTTCAGCCACCACTCTCATCCTCCTTATAACTCTCGGCTCAGCTAAACACTGAAGAGACCTCGGGCTTGAACTCTCACCTCCTGTTTCACCCATGAGATCAACTTCAGGGAGAGAAGTCTGTGAATAACTGGAGATACTATTAAAGACTCTTGCAATGAACGGCGTCTTGCAATGTTCTGTCTCTTTCTCCTCAATCCCTGGCCACTCAGCTTCAACAAGAAGAGGTCTGCTCACATCATTAGAAGCCACATTAACCTCCTCTATCTCATCAACCCCACCTTCATCCTCAACAACCTCGTAATACTCCAAAGGTGGTTCCATCATATGATACACAACGGTATACACAAGTATCACAGCAACCCACTGCGCAAACGACACGTAAGAAACCCCTCTAGAGTTACAACCAGACCCAAAAGGATTGTTCTTAGAGTGACAAACAGAGCTGACAATCGCTAGCAAGAGATTCCCAGTGTTGCCAAAAGCAGTCATTACAATAGTGACTCTAGTGAACTCTGGAGGTGGTCTACATATGAGAACAACCAAGTATCCTATAAAAGAACCAATAACAGTACTGAGCAGGACGTTAACCGGAATAAACCACCAACGGACGATGTTATCTAGGGTAATGCTTTCTCCTAGCTCGGTGAAGATCAAGCAAGGTAAGAAGAGAGCAAAGACGAGTTTGCTTAAGAGACGAAAGGTTGCTCTTGGGACTAGTTGTGTCTTGGGGTGAGCAAGAAGGAGACCGATTAAGGTTAAGGAGATGAGTTTCATCAGAGGGACGATACCACTGAGGATATCCATAACCCTAGACCTAACACTGTTCTCTGACATCTTGGATCCGAAGTTACCTGAAAAGAGGAGAGTGTTTGGTCTTCGCGTTGACCGTGGGAATCTTAAAGTCAACGACAGAGAGAAAAACACACCAAACTGGAGACTGAAACGCAAACGCAACAGTGACCTATCTGAAACAGAAGAACACAAGTTTGATTAAGATACAACTGCGAATATGGTTTGGGAAGTGATTAGATGGGATGAGAGGTAACCACCTGGAGGTTTGTCACGTGGAAGGTGTCACTGAAGAAGACGACAAGATTGAGAGATGAGATGCACCTTCCACGAGATATCAATTATTGGTTTCGTTATGGAGATTCGTATTGTCTGAAACATTTTATGGTTATCACGTGGGATGGGAAGAAGATAAATTGTGATTTGAAGCTATACACGTCACAAGGATTTGTATTCGGCTTTAGAGGTAGCACAAGGAACAGAAAGCAAACCCAATAAAGGTTCATTAACAAATCAGAAGGCCCTCCGAAAGTCAGTTTTTTTTAATGCACCAATTTGAAATAGATTATTTGTGAAATAATCAAAAACAAAAATAAAATTAGTCTTTAAGAGAGATGATACAGAGAAATACAGAGAGATAGGGAGAGAGAATGAGATTTTCTTTTAATGAATTTTGGTTGTTTTCTAAGCTATTAGGTGCAATTTCTCATTTGAAATACCGTATGTTTCTTAAATGGTGTAATTTTAGCATTTTCTTTTTATACAAAATGACATTTTATAATAATTCTTATAGAATATATTAATTTTCAGCTAAATATTAATTATATTGTACATTGATCTAATAAATAAATTACTTATCTTAAACATTATTAGTAAAGTATATATAATTAATAAAAATATAAATATATTTTAATTATTTTTAATATGTGTGAAAAATGTCTAAGTAACATTCTTTATGAAATAGAAAAAGTAATAATTAGTCGGTTAGTGACTGGTTAATGGATGGTTCAGCTTTGATTCCAAAACCAAACTACCAATCGTACCTTTAAACTTGTTGAGAATTTGTGACTAAATTTGAAATACAAACCCACAACAAACTAAATCTGTATATGATGTAAATATACAAAGTAGTTGTTTAGACATTGTCTATATCTGAATCTGATTCAAACAAATATCCAAAAACTTTAAAATTAAAAAAAAAAAGAGTAAAACCCTTAAAAACTGAATTAGAATAAATATTTTATGATTTTGATGACTGAAATGAATTTTCAGAAATTAATAAATATTTGTGTTTCTTAATAAAAATTTACAGAATATTTTGATTTACTTAAACGTATGGTTAACAAATAAGTCTAAACCGGAAAATACCTTGAATATATCAATTTACAATCCTAAAGACAGCCAGAAATAGGCTCTATAAGCACTAATTTTAGAAGGGCAATATCCAGCCTATTGAATTGTTCAAATGCCCATGGTACAGACAACTAACACATCATCCAAATTTGAAGATGTTATGTTTTCAATAATAATGTAACAAAAACTGTGTAAAACATTGATTCCCTACATTCTTCACAACTGAAACATCGGTTTAGTTTAGTACATTGATACCTGGTTTGTTCCGGTTAGGTTGTTACAACAAATTGTATATAGTCATTTGACAACATTAACGAAAAGTAAAAGAAAGTTTTCCTACTTTGTTTCCACTTTCTCGAGCTCCTTTCTCCTCCATTTTCGCTCAAGAGAGCTTCTCTGTTCAAACTTTGTTTCACTAAAACCTCCATTTCGATCGTTATCTGTACGTGACGTAAGGTCTGTAATGGAATCACAGAAGAGATTGGAAACGAGTCAGAGAGAGCATGTGTAAGTATCATGTGATTGTACTCTTTTCGGTCTCGACAGATTAGGCATTGAAGATAGATTAGGGCTATGTTAGAATTACGAATTAAAGTTTGGATTAGTGATAGTAGTTAGGTTTCTTGGTTTTTTCGATTGGATTTCTTTTTTTTTCCTTTCGTAAGCATTCTCTTTTCCGCTTATTCGACGTTTTGGATTAGGTTCCGTAATGGAGAACTCGGCTATTAGGACGAGATCTGTAACAAAACGGGAGAAAGAAAAAATATCTCAAGTATGCCAAGAGTTCGAGGTTGCGGCTCTTAGGATATATGTCATGTTAGATTGTGTGTTTTGATAGAAAATGATTGAAAATGTTTATGCGAAGAACATAGATTTGGTCTAGAAGTAAATGATATGTTAAATGAAAAAATGTTAAGAAAAACTGGTTATGATATAAAGTAGATAAAGAAAGTATGTTTTGGCTTCGAGCCGTAAAAGATGATTTGAATGTTTTGGCTTCGAACTATAAAAGATGTTATGGTTTGGCTTCGGACCGTAAATGATGTTATGTTTTGGCTTCGGTTATGATGGACCTATGGGGTCGCAAATACTCCTAAGTTGTTATTTGCTTCTTGAACAAAAATTGTACTTGAGTACATTCTTCTACCATTTAGCTTCATAGCTTTCTTCATATCTACATTAGATTTCACGTGGTCATCGGTTTCTTTTGTGTATACATCGACACTCATATTTGTTGCATTAATAACTACATTATTACTTTTAAGAATTTCTTAACATCAATTTAAGTTGTTTTCTTCTAGATTTTAAAAATACTTATAATAAAAGCGCTATAAATTTGTCCATACGATGATGCAGTATCAATGTAATTTTTCCGAAGATAACATGAAAATGAGGTAGGAAGTTCTTAAGATACTTCCCATAAACTTATTTAAATCTGCTTTTGTTAACAACATGATAATGTACTAAAATTTTCAAATTTTCAGTTCATTCACTTTAAAATCTAAATAAATAATTAGTTGAATCTAAAATAAATTCGAGTGCAAAATAGATTTTAAATAGAATTATAAAAAATTCAAACTTCGAGTTCAATTGATGACCACATTTTATGAACAAAATAATGAGAAAATTCTTATTACTCAATTTTATGTTAATCATGTTGATTTGTCAAATTACATACGCATAGGTCCCACTCTATTCCTCTTATTTCTTTAAGAATGAAAATACTTATGAAGCAAAAGTTCGTCCTCCAATTTTCATGGGGAATGAATTGAACATAAATTGTTATATTTTTGTTTATTTATTTCCTTCACTGAATTTTTGTTCATTATTTCATTCATTTTTCCGTTCAATTAAATGATCACCAGTTGAAGCTAAAAAAATTGTTTTAACTGATTTTGAAAGAAAAATATAAAATCAGAATTAAATTTTAGAAGAATGAATTTGGAGTAAAAAAAGAAAGAATAGGTATTCAATTTAAAAAAGGGGGAAACTGTTTTTTTAGACCAAATAGGTTTGGATATTGTCCCTTTAGGCTAAATTATATTTTGTATCAATTTTGACTTTAATGCCCCTTATGTATTTTCGAAATTATTAAAAAAAATAGATATATGAAGCAAATTTTTTTAAAAAAATAGTACATAATGATGAAATCTCTATATCTATATAGTGATATTTTTTTCTTGTTTTAAAAATATGTAAATAATAATTTCATATATCTATTCTACCGAAATTAGAATATGTATTCTACGGATTAGAATACGGAATCTACTTTTTTCACTATTTCTACGAATTGCAGAATATGTTTTCTACGGAGATAACATGAATCTAAATTAGTTTGGAATACACATTCCACGCTTATCATATAGTTCTAAAAAGAGTAGAAGTTGAAATCTAAATTCGTACTTAAATCTAAGACAAGTAGAAGTCAGAATCTAAATTCGTACAACGTTCTAATACACGTAGAAACTGATTTCATATATTTTTACACAGTTCTAAGTTTAGTAGAATTTGAATTCTACGGATAAATATTATTAGATCCGAAAATATAGCAAGAATATCTTAGAGAATATTCTATTACCATATTTAAAACTCCATTTTTTTAAATATGGGGTTTTTTAATTTTTTAATTTTTATTTTATTTTCAAATATACTTTTTAATTAAATCAAAAATATATTATTTTATTTTTTTAAGTTTTATTTTTTTTTAATTTCGAATATACTTTATGATCAAATCGAAAATATATTGTTTTAATTTTTTAATTTTTTTTTTTTAATTTCTAATACAAATTTTTAATCAAAAATAATAATTTTATTATTATTTTCTAATTATAATTACGAATTATTAAGTTTTAATTTTTTTTTTAATTTCGAATATACTTTATGATCAAATCGAAAATATATTGTTTTTAATTTTTTTAATTTATTTAATTTTTTTTTAATTTCTAATACAATTTTTAATCAAAAATAATAATTTTATTATTATTTTCTAATTATAATTACGAATTATTAAACTGTTCTAAGGGTATTATTGCCATTTAGAAAAAACTTAACCTAATGGGACAATAACTAAATGAGATTAGACTAAAGGGACAACTTCCTAATGGTTTTGGTATAAAAAAACTATTTTCTCTTTAAAAAAAAAAGAATTTGAAGTTAAATTTTCGACCCAAACCCAAAAATAAGGAATGTTTGGGAGGAGTATTTCATCAGTTATCCCACGTGGGAATAATTGGTTAACACTCAACACATATAGAAATAAATCGGATCCAAAAATTCGGATCCCGGATCCGTTTCTTCTGCTCTCAAAAAGAGAAACCCTAACGTGACTAGAGCCTCCTCCTCCTCCGAATCGGAGAACCTCTTGTTCAATCTTTGATGGATTCACCTTGATCAATCAATCAATTAATCGATTAATCACCTCCCAAAGATGTCGAATCACTCCAGAGACGAACCAAGCACCGCCCCCAAAACAGATCAATGGTACGATCTCGTCTTAGGCTCCTCCGCTAAAGACGATTCCTCTCATAAATTCTGCACCTTGCGATGTAAGTTTCAATCTTCTTCGATTAAATTAATCTCACTTTTTAACGGATTAATGATTTTGTTTAATGGTTAATTGCAGATGAATTCAAACCTGCTTCAATTGACAAGAAGAGGTCAGGGACTTTGCATAAGAAGAAAGATAACAGAGTCTCTGTTGAGTTTCAGAACAACCAGATTGGTAAACCTAAGGTGACGTTTGAAGGTAGCAGCGAGGATTATAAGGATAATGATGCTGTGTTGTTTTTTGATGGAGAGAAGTTTCGTTTGGAGAGGTTGCATAGAGCTGTGAAGCAGTTGAGGCATGTTAGGACTCCTGGTGAATCTGCTGCTGCTTCTCAGTCTACAGTGCCTCCTCCTGTGGAGCATCATCGGTTGTCTCCTCCGCTTGGTCGTGCTGCTAAGTCTCCTCATGTTAATAGAAGTTTGCTTCCTGATATGCCTGTGAGTTTGCAGTGTGTTTTGACTATTCTCCTTACTGTTTCACATGAATGGACGAACTTAATGTTGTTTAGGTTTTATCGATTTTGTGTATTTGATGGTATAAGGTGTTGTTTTTACTAGTTTTCTTTAAAATCTGCAGGTTGAAGTGGAAAGAATTGAGATTGGGAAGCGAGAGAACTCAGGTTAGCAGTTTGTTCCATTGATGTTATATGGTTTAGCCTTTTTAGTCATATCTTATAGGTATATAGTTATAGAGAATTGGGAGTTTGATTTTTGGGATCGTTAGGTTAGGTTCCCTGCATAGAGTGAAAGAGAGCTAAACCTTAATACAATATGATAAACCTGTCATAGTTCTCATTACTGCTTAGTCACTTTCTTCATAAGCCGCGGTTTTGATGTACATATTGTTGGATGAGCATGGTTGGTAGTAGTACATAGAAGTCTGATTTGCTTTATTAATTGGATTCTTCTGATCATGGGTTCTCATTGCGGCTATGACTATTTGGTTCTCTATTGGTTAGATAATATATAGTCAAGTGAGACTAAGCAGGAATATTAAAGTGTTGATTCAAGTTGCTTACAAATCCTTAGTACTTTTCTAAGCATGTATTTGCTGTATCTGGATATCTTTTTAAAAAAAAAAGAACTAATGTGATTGCAGCTGAACCAGCCATCCCTGCAAACAACACACCTTCTATCTCACCAGTTGATGAGAAGATTGAAGATGGAGAAGAAGAGCATCACGAGATTGATTTGGTTGATATATTCGGCTCATTTACACCAGAGAAGGACAATGCAGAGAAAGAGAACGCTGACGTCGGTGGAGAATACGAGGAGAATTTAAACAAACAGCTTAGCATCACGGAAGAGGAGATTGCAGATGTGGACGATGACAGTGGCGGGGAAGGAGAGAAGGGTCTGAACGCAGCGGAAGCACTTAGAGCACAAGTAAACGCAGAGGTGCAAAAACGCTCAAGCTCAAGCTCAAGCAGTAGCAGTGGAAGCAGCAGCGGAAGCGACAGTGATGGTAGGAGCAAAAGCGTAAGCGGAAGTGGTCAGAGTAGCAGCGGAAGCAGTAGCCGTGGGAGTGGGAGTGGAGGGAGTGACGATGAAGATGAAGTCAACTCCGTGTAACAGTAGTAACACAAACAATAGCAAAACTTATTATCCACAATATTATTTACCAAACTTTGTCTGAATAATTTGGCTTTGATTTTTGAAGATCCAAAAATAGTAACTTTCACTTACTTCTACTTCTGTCTTAAAGCTGTCAAGTCCACTCGCTATAATCGGCGCGTGTAAAGAAAATCTTGTCTACGGATCGTGGTTGACACGCGCTAGAAGGTAGTGGTGCAAGAAAGTATGCTATTACTGTTAACAAGCGAGTTCAAGAGACTGTGCCACGGAGACCGAGAATCATTGTCTTCTTCAGAGCCTCTCAAGTCCAAATCTTAAACACACACGCCGAGATCTCTTCCTCCACGTTTCTCAAGATCAACGTATGAGCTCAAAAGCTTCTGACCTTGTCGGTGAAGACAGATGGGAGCTGAGAAGAAATGGCTTTTTAGTCTTTTCTCTGTAGTGTTCATCTCCATCTTCCTCCTCTTACTCTACTCTTTATCTGCTTTCACCTCTAAGCCTTTCCCTTCCCCTATCCATCACGGTCCTCATTACCCGCCAGCTTTCGCTTACTACATAACCGGAGGTCGTGGAGACGGTGACCGGATCTTTCGGTTGCTTCTCGCGGTTTATCATCCTAGGAACTGGTATCTTCTCCATCTTGGCGCTGAAGCTACTGAAGCAGAGAGGCTATCTCTTCTCTCGGAGTTGAAAACTGTTCCTGCTGTGAATGCCTTTGGGAATGTTGATGTGTTGGGGAGAGTTGATCGTCTCTCTGAGAATGGTGCTTCTAAAACGGCTTCTACTCTCCACGCTGTCTCAATCTTGCTGAAGCTTGGTCGCTCTTGGAACTGGTTCATTGAGCTTAGTGCCTTGGATTATCCCCTCATTACTCAAGACGGTATGTGATTCATTTTCAGTCTTAGATCTTTGTTTTGATATCTCTCTTTGAGCTTTATAGTTCTCACTCTTAGCTTCTTGATATTTTCTGGAAAGAAAGTGGAAATGTGATATTAGTGTTATTGATAATGACAATGATCTCTTTATTGCAAATTCAACAAGCTTTAGATATTCATTACATCCACTCACTTGTTCTGTTTGTCTTCATATAACTTTGATTTCTATCGTAACGTTTTCTTTCAGACTTATCTCATGTGTTTGCCTCGGTGAACAAAAGCATCAACTTCATTGATCATACTAGTGATCTTTCTTGGAAAGAGTAAGTATAATAGACTCTCTTTTTCTCAGTCCAATGCTCAAAAAATTGCTAAGCGTTAATTATGCGTTTTATAGGAGATTATTGTTTAGTCTTGCGCCTAACTGATTTATAGAACACTGTCTCAGTCTCTCTTGGAATTTTAACACTCATGAATAGTGTTGTTTTTTTCTCTGTAGATCTAAGAGAATCAAACCTATTGTTGTTGATCCAGCAATTTACTTAGCCAGAAGAACACAGCTCTTCACTGCTACTGAGAAACGACCAACACCAGATGCTTTCAAAGTCTTTACAGGTTTAAAAAAGATTCATTACCTAATTATATAAGCCTTTTATATGTTTCACTCTAACCTGTAGTATCAGCGCAGGCTCGCCTTGGATTGTACTAAGCAGATCTTTCTTAGAATATTGCATCTTCGGTTGGGACAATCTACCAAGAACCCTCCTTATGTATTTCAACAACGTGATTCTCTCTGAAGAATGCTACTTCCACACTGTTATCTGCAACTCCCCTGAGTTCAGCAACACGACAGTCAACGGTGACTTACGTTACATGATATGGGACAGTCCACCAAAGATGGAGCCACACTTCCTTACCGTAACGGATTACGATCAGATGTCTCAGAGTGGAGCAGCTTTCGCTAGGCAGTTCAAGAAAGATGATCCGGTTTTGGACATGGTTGATAGAGAGATCTTGAAACGTGGACGTTACAGAGTGACTCCTGGAGCTTGGTGCACGAGGAGCCATAGTAGCTGGTGGACTGATCCTTGCTCTGAGTGGGGTGATGTTAACGTGGTTAAAGCTGGTCCTCAGGCTAAGAAGCTGGAGGAGACGGTAATGAATTTTTTAGATGATTTGATTTCACAAACGAGTCAATGAAAGTGAAGAAGGAGAATGTTTGGGGGAGTGTTGGAATCAGTTATACACACGGACACGATACGAGTTTTACATTGTTTTACTGTCTGTTATGGTTTTAAACTTAACTTTATGTTGCTGTGACAACTGACTAGTCAATGTAATTAACTAACCAACAACAAAAATGGCATAGTTGTTGATTGGGCTACAACACTCCAAAGCAGGTGGTTATCGTTTCATAAATAGTGGATTTGGACATGCATGAAAATAATTTTGATCAACGGTCATGTTTAATTCTGTGATTATAAATATCTAGACAGATTAAAAGGGAGGCTATATGCTAAATGCTATTTCATTGACTATATCAAGGATGGCCCTTTTATGGAATTAACTTTATATCGGTAACCTTCTGTTTTAGCATATTGTTGTTTTTCTTTGGGAGCGGGTTCAAATGCTTTTGTAGGATACTTTACGAAAAGGTAAAATTTCATCAAACATGGCGATCAGGTGATGCATTCTTGACATTTGTGAAAGAACTTTACTCTTATCAAGTACCTTAAGCTTGGTATGGTGAATATACACATTACTGTTATATGTTACAAAAATGGTATATTCTGTAAAAAAATATCTGTCAATTTTATATATATATATATATATATATATTTGTATGGTGACATGAACCCACACGTGGTGGTACATAAGTACTGGATCTAGTGCCAAGTGCGTAACTCGTTACAGACTTACAGTCATGGTTTAGTTTTCAGTGTGTCTTGACCCAAAAAAATATTTTTTTACTGTGTGCAAAGTTTACGTTTGCGCCATTTAGTCACTTGAGCTTTGGTTCAGATGGTTTATATATCTATCGTGTCTGATTGCGGGAAACTTCTTATCAGTCCAGTACTAACATTGAAATGACAAACTAATTATTTCACCTTTTTAGCTTAATACAAAGTAAATTCGCAATCAACTTTTTGTGATGTAACAAACAATCTCTTACCCTCCCTCCTCACCAAAAATGGCTATATGAGTAGCTTAGAGTTAGAAGAGAACATAGAAAAATATAACTTTGTAAAAAAAGGAAAAAAAGAGGTCTAAGAATGTGATAATTGGGGTGTGTGAGAAGAAAATGCCAACGAAGTTTATAGGGTGGAAAGTATAAAGACACATACAAAGACAATATTAATGCAAACAATAAAAAGATGTGGAGGGGCTTTATAACTTATTATTCAAACTATATATAGCCTTCATGAATAGTTTTCTTGAGTTGTCTACTTCTTAAAATCGGACCCCCACACACCCTATTTTATCATGGAATCATTGCCCTTAAATAGCTATACATTCCTTTCTTTCATCTTTATTTAGTTCCATTACTATTCCCTTGTACTGTTCTTACCTATAAACTAAATAATTGAATGTGTGATTGTTTAGTTTATCTATAAACACTATTTATCATCTATTGGAGATCTTCTGTAAATCCAAAATAACAAAACAGCTAAATTAAAAGGATTGTGTCGTTTACAATACACAATGAATCAAACACAATAATCCCATAAACTTATACTGTTTTCTACACTATTTAATTAAATAATTTTGTTAAAAGTGCAAAGTTTAGGAAAACATATTAGTTACACACTTTTAATTTGTTTGTATACTGGAAACACCATTTGATACTTAGTAAAAAGCTAATTTAACTAATAGCTAAATAGAGAAAAAGTCAGAGAGAAGATAACCATAGGAGCTCACAAGAACTATAAGCAAGAGTCAAAACTATAGCACCAATGTAATCGATATTTTATTTGGGTTGAAATTGAATTGACGAACAACCAATAACAATATTACTCTTTTAGTAGTCTTGAATAAAAATAAAATTGGGGTGTAGCTAATAATGATTTAATTTTTAATATGTGTAAAACACAAAACATGCATTATTTAGGAACTAAAATAGTATACTTAAAGAATACAGAAGGATCAAATAAATATAACATTAGAAAGAAAAAAAGCTGTAAACCATCTTATAATTACAAAAAATCTTAAACATCTTATATAATAGGAACTACATACCGACATCATATATAGCAATAGCCTACATGTATAGGGGTGAAATAATCATAAACAAAATTGTAATCTTTTTGAACGACCCATTTTAAGTTTTGAACACAAACCAATAGAAAAGCTTAAGATGGTCAAAAGAAAGATCGAGACAACCATAATTGCCATTACCGATGCATTAAATTTGACGCATGTGAACTGTGAGGTGATGTGAATAGGAAAAGAGCTCTAATCCCGTGACATTGTTTTATGACTCAGGCATTGCAATGGATAGATAGATGACATTGTGAACATAATAAGAAAACTAATCACTTTAGTTACAGATTCTAACTACATGCTCCATTTAATAATCAACCTTTTTTTATATTCCATACATAATTTTAAATTGTAGTTCATCTAGTATATGAACACAGGATTATACTTTTGTCCGAGACGTGTGAACTAGCCCCAACAAAGGCCTCGTTGTCCGCCGTGTGATATTTGGAGGAACACATCATTAGAGGGCCACCTCTTAGTTATATACAACCTCCATAATCACACTTTATGAATATCATGCATTTATTTATAAAGTTAATTGATGTACTAATCTTCGGCACACTGCTTGCTCATTAAGTCACCATATTTATATATATATGGTCGTGTCTAGTCGATAATTTATATGTATCTTTGATCTCTCTGTGTCTTGGTGATAGAAAAATGGGAGCTCTTGATTCTCTCTCGGAATACATCTCCAACTACTTCCACGTCTCCCACAAAAGAAGGAAGCGTAAAGTCAAGCAGGTTCATACATATATTTGTAAACGCTGCTACTCAAACTGTTTCTTATCTATTTAAAGCCTAATATTTTTTTTTAAAGATTTTTGCTTAGCTTTTTTATTCTTTTGGTGGCAGACGGTGAACTTAAAGGTGAAGATGGACTGCGACGGATGTGTACGCAAAGTCAAGAACGCTGTTTCCTCCATGAAAGGTTAAAATTTCCAGCTCGTTCTAGCTCCTAATACCATAAATATTTTCTTTAATCTTTATATTGTAATTCTTGATTTTCATAACACCTCATATAGCTAAACACCATAACCATTTATGTAATTTACGAAAAGAAGCTATTGAAATGAATCTACTAATGACGTAGGGGTGGAAACGGTGGAGCTGAACAGGAAGATACACAAAGTGACGGTGAGTGGGTACGTGGAACCGAAGAAGGTGTTGAAGAGAGTCGAAAAGACAGGGAAAAAGGCGGAGATGTGGCCATACGTTCCTTACAACGTGGTGGCATATCCATATGCAGTCGGAGTGTACGACAAAAAAGCTCCGGCAGGTTATGTGAGGAAGTCTGAGCAGTCACAGCCGATGCCTGGAGCTCCAGACGACGTGATCATGTCTCTTTTTAGCGATGAGAACCCCAACGCTTGCACCGTTATGTAATAAATAAAGTATCATTGTAATATGATTATCCACCGCACATACTTAACGTTTACTCTTATATATACTAGGTAAAGAACCCGTGCGATATCGCACGGAAACTCGTTTTATAAAAATAAAATATAACATATTTTATAATCTAATATTTTACAAAACTTTGTTTTGAAGAAACACGTGTATTAAAAAGTTATCTTCCATGCAACTGTATTACTTTATTGATAATATTTAAATATTTCTATTTTATTTATAGATTTAGTTATAAAAAAATAAAAAATTATCAACACCAAATAAGATATAATTTTTTACTATACATTTAGTTAAGTTATTTAAAATTTCAAAAGCAACTGAATATTTGAAACTATGAAAAATCAAATACATGCCAATCTAATCACTTACTAAATCAGTAAAACAACTTATAAACAAATCGAATATTCAAATTTGTTTGAAACTATGTAAGATATGTGTGGTCAAAACATGATCATATGATATGTATATTTTTCCGCAACTTATTTTTCTTAGCATATCACCTACGTCGTTTATTTTGAACTTATTTACCAAATAACTAAAAATGGAAATTAGATTTGAAGAGAGTGAAGATATAAAGACATATGAGGAGTAAGCCTGAGAAAAATGGTGGTTTTGGTTGGTGTGTAAATTTCTGGTTTTTTATTAGAAGGCTTAGTTTCCCTTATTTTAATTATTATTATTTGTATCATTATTTGTTAAAAGAAAGTTTTTTTCTAAAAAATATTTACTTACAAATTAAGAAACATAATTTGGTATAATGTTACATAAATTGAAGATTTTTAAATTATTTGTATTGCCAAATATCATAATACATTATGCACTTTCAATGTTAATAATAGAGTTAAGTCCGGTGAAACCCACTTCTAATAATAATTGAGTTTTGGAGTCCGTTCTTGTTCGTTTTTTTATAAATAAAAAAATCATTACTAGACTCAATCTACTATATTAAAACAGAGTCATTTTTTTATCTACTGATAAAAGTTGTCATTTAAATTTGGACCCTTTTATAGAATATTATAAATAATATAAGTCATATAATTGATTGAACTGTAGTACTTAAATTAAACCAACACAATTAATGTAAATAGACGACCTTAATGTAAACTACCTTTAAAATATGGCAAGTATCTATGTGTATACCGAAAACATATATTTTCTCCTACAAATATGGAATGTTCTAAAAGAATATATATCATCAAAATATGGAATATGGAAACCTACTAATTATATTTAAATTAAACCAGTGGTTATTTATGGAATATAGTCTTGGGTTTACTTTTATTTTTTGAACAAATTATATGGTTTGATTTTTGGGCTTAGTATTAAGAAAATAACTCTAAAAACATTGAATAAATTTTTCACCTTAAAAGATCAAAAAAACAATTATTATTTTCAGACCCAAAAGGTATTTAATATTTTTAACAAAACAAAATTATATATTATTAATCATTTATTTAAATCATGTACTTTAAAACATGTTAATATATTTTTTTTATTCTAAATAACAATCACTTTGTTTTGATAAATTTCATTGGTAACTTTTAAATAATTTATTACTGATTAAAAAAATGTAAAGTAAAACCAAAAACCAAATCTAAAAACTAAAATCCAAAACCAAAAGCTGAAAACACATGTTATATTTTTTTTCTTTGTTTATTTACAAAATAAAATTCAAATTTTTTTTAATTTGTTGTCATCTTTTCAGTTTGAATTAGATGTTCGATTATTTGAGATTTGTTTGTTGGTAATATTAGTTCAAACTAACTTACGGGTTTAAAAATTAAAAACCCAAACCAAAAATTGAAAATGAAAAGTAGAAACTTAAAAACTAAAAACCAAAAACCAAAAACCAAAAACCAAAATCTAAAAATAAAAACTGAAACTAAAAACTAATGGAAAATAATCATCACCACAAATTTTGGTGAACTGATTTTATATCAAAATATTCTTTAAACTAAGACAAAACCCAATTATATAAATTTTTAATCATAAAAAATTTCCGCGCTTTCAAGACTTAAATTATATTTGATGTTCAACTCTAATTTCAGACTTGAAAAAATCATAAATACCAAAAAGGAAAAAAAAAATCCTTTGGGATTTTTGTTACTTTTAAAAACTGTAAGATGATCTACATTATGATACTTATTATGTTTAATTTTATTTTTTTTGGCTCCACAAATAAGAAAAAAAAATATTTGAGGAAATAAGTACATGGACCAGCATCTATTTTATATTATCGCATTTCAGCCTTTTTTTTACTGCAGTTTTTGTGTAGGTTTAAAACAAAGTGATTAGTCAAATGGTGAATAGACGCATCCCTAAAAAAAGATAACTATTCATTTCAAACGGTTACTTTTAAAATAGAGGGATAAACTACATACATGATTTATAGGATACATCCACATAAGTAAACAAATTAATATTTTTAACTAATTAAAAATTAATCTATATCCAGAAAGAAAACAACAGAGAAACGTAATACCAGTTTCTTTTCTTATTTATTGTATTTGTTACTGTATTTTCTTATTTAAGTTCGAGTCAAAAACGCTGATCATCAACAAATCTGACTCTTCTGATGTTACACGAAAAGATCATACGTACATAAGATTTAGTAAAATCCTAAATCAACAGATGTTCTTAATCTCTGCACATGTATATAAAAACCGTGTAGTCGTAGTTATTGGGAAACAACACATGAAGATGCGTCTAACTCCACCATTATAGAATCTTCTTTTCAAATTATAAATTTCTTCTACTGATTTTAATGATAATGAGATATCAAAATGTATTAAAAAAAAATTAAATAAGAGAAGCAAACAACCAGCACTGGAGATGCCTATTAGTGAGAGTGAAACTTTGATAATTTGATGGTGCAAAAAAATTGTGAACACAATTTATATAGAATTGAAAAGACGTAAAAAAGAAAAGATACAACTTTACAACGAAAATATACATTATATTTATTGTAAACAGTTATAAACGAATAGATACAATAAATAGGTGTGAGTAAAAATATAATGAAAAATCGTAACCGTATAAATTAATTGGGATTGTTGGACTTTGGATCCCAAACGCCATGTATAGTTCTCATTAAATGCATGTTGAATTAATTCGTTCAAATAAAATATCAAAACACTTAAAGATTTTAACTATTATATTTACAGCAAATGTGAATTAGGTTTTTAAGTGGATAATCGAAAATGAAAAACGACAGTTTTTAACTCTACAACGCATCCATTCATATCATGATTAACGTTCGTATCTCTTCCAGAAACAAATGCAACGATTCAATAGCCATCTTCATCAAATATATATGTAACTGACTTTCAAAATATTTTTAAACTCATCTCTGGAACTTCTAGAAAACTAACTACTTTTTAAAAAATGATATCTTTATAATATATTTTGAATAGACACATCATTTCAAAAATATATATATGAATAATCATATATTTTTAATTTCTAAATAGTTATTTTAAATGATACTTTTACAAAATATATTTTGAATAGACACAACCTTTTACTTCGATGGAAATTCACTTTGAAAAGTTCTTTAAATATATATATATAGTCTATGTATATGGTTTTCTGAAACTAAAATTTTCACTAATCCTAAAATGGTAAAAAATAAAAGTTCTGTGAAATTACCTAAATACAAATTGTTAGAAGATATTCGAATGAAACGCTGTCAACAAAGATACCATTAAGTCGAAAGGTTGTCTTTTTATTTTTAATATTTTAAGTTTGTTTTGAAACAATGTATTCGTTCAAAAGTTAGTTAATTTAGAAAGATGTTTTTTCAAATTTATATTTTGAACAATGTGTCGGTTCAAAAATTAATTGGTTTGAAAGAAAATATCTATTTTAAATATATATATTTTCTGAATATGTATCTATTCAAATTATTTGTAAGAGAGCTATTCAATTAACTATTTATAAATAAAAAATTGTAACTATTCATTTAAAAAATAATTATAATTTGAAAAGTTTTAACTTTCAATGTGCCTGTTCATTAAAAGTTGTAACTTTCCAACTAATTCTTTAATTATATTATAATTTTGATTAACTCCAAAAGATATGTCTTTTCATTAACCGTCATAAGGATTCCAGAAACTTCCATGCGTGATGATGGAAAGCGCATACTAACAAATTCCAGAATAAGAACACTTATTCATGTATGTGTCTTTACGTTTGTCACCGTAAGAACCAGGTTTCACGTCGAGCCTTTAAAACAAAAAATCATTATGTACACATGAACCAACATGATTTTCAATGGTTTTATTAATATGCATTCATGCAAAATCCATTACGTATATGATTATGATCATTTTGTAACTTGATCAACAACCCATTTTATTAATCTACGTAAAACCACATGAATCAGTGTGACTTTTCATCACAGAAACAGTTATTTCTCTTCCTTCCTTGCGAAAAGAAATAACAACAAAAGGACAAATAGAATCCAGACTTGTGCCTCTTAATAGTATGGCATCGTAAACTATTACGAGGGTATCATACTTGATTGGGTGATACCAGTGTCTATTCAAAATATATATATTTTCTGAAAAGATGTATCTATAATCTATTAAAGTTTGTGTTTTAATTTTTAATATTTCATTTTTTTTTAAATAATATGTCAGTTGAAAAAAATTAGTTAATCTGAAAGAATGTGTCTTTTCAAAAAAATTAAATATTTCATTTTTTTGAAACAAATATGTATGTTCAAAAGTTAGTTAATTTGAAAAGATATCTATTCAAAATATATATTTTCTTTATAATATATCTTGAATAGACACATCATTTCAAAAAAATATATAAGAATAAGCATATATTTTTAATTTATAAATAGTTATTTTAAATGATACTTTTACAAAATATATTTTGAATAGACACAACCTTTCACTTTGATGAAAATTCACAACCTTTGGAATTAATGAGGATTGTTATTATTAGTAGATATATATTTTTTTTTCTCTTTTGGTAATAATATGCATAGAGGAAGAAGCAAGTAGAGTTTTAATTTTTGTTATCGATCGTGTTGT